AAAAAAAACCGATGAGGAAAAAAGCTTCTCGAGTAGCAGCCTCGTATCGGTGGGAGATGTATCGGGTGTCTCCACTACATGGAGTGACACCTGGTAAGACATGCAGGAAGTCAATGATTGCAGATGGCTCAGGACCATGCTTTGAGGCATTTCTTAGGAGAGGCCTATGTTCAGCAGTAGACTTTTGAAGGGCTGTATTGATGGTGAATGATGAGGTGCGTTGTTGGAATTTGGGGGCTAGAAATAATCTAAATAGTGTGTCTGAGCACTCTCCGTGGAAAATGCGACAGAAAATGTAATGGGATACAACATCTCTTTATAGCGCTAGAGAATCCAGCCGATCCGAAATAACTCAGTCGATGACAATTTCAGCCACTCTTCGCTGGTTGCGGTCAAGTGGATGGAACTGGCACTAGGTACCCGGAGCTGGAGCACCCAGCTCCGGGTACTTAGACCTTGTAAATTAGCAAGTGGTGTACCGACATGAAATATTCTATTAAGAGGTTAGAGGCCAGTTTAGCCTTCTCTTCCAAGCGACCACGGAACTATACGTCATTGTCAATACCGCGGACTCCAATGCTAGCTGTGGAGGCATAAGCAGTGCCCGAAAATTAAGGAGATACGATAAATGGGTTCTTTTTAACGGTAAACGTACAAACCTGTGTCTTCTGGAGTTCAAACTGAACTAAACGACTGTCCTAGATTTTGTTTATTAAAGACTTGACTTCAGACATAATTTTGATATGATACTCGATATCGTATATTCCAGAAATATTCGCACGGCCGGTGTTAAAAGCACCATTGGCGTTACAACCAGTAAGAGCAACATATAATTTATATACAAAAGAAGTAATGTAGGTTAAAAATACGCAGCCTTATAACTGGAGTATACAGCGTCTACTAAGACTTTGATGCTCCGATTTGCCAGAAAACTGATGATCTTATTTTAAAAATCTTAGGAAAGCCCACAGGAAAGAAGATTTTGAAGAAGCGATTTGTATTTCTCCCATACAAGGCCTTCGCTATGTCCAAAGAAACGAGCAAAGCTTCCCGTTTGGACTTATCACTAATCAGCTGGTGGATCCTAAGGTACCTTATGACTTGGCAGTGAATAATGAATTCCATTACTTTCTAGAACACAGTGGCGATGGTTATAAGAAGTCCATGTGGTTGGACAGGTCTGAGCGTTTGCCTTTTTAGGATTACGCCTAGGGAGCAACCGGAAAAGATGCGTTAGGGAAGTAGGAGGTTTCGCGTATCGGACTAGGATGCATCGTCTTTTTACTGAGCTGTAGCCATCTATTACCCTCACCGAGCAAAACCTGGCAGACCGAGTTCGGTATATCTTGCGCTCAAATATATTTGATGGTGTGACGGCCCAATATTATTATTAATAATTAAATTCAATATAAAGGGGCGTCAAAAATAGTCTTAAAAGATATATATTAAGCAATTAAGTTAAATTAATAAACATAAAGTTAATATATTTCAGACATTATCCCAATAACAAAGTAAATTAAAGGCAAAATTATTGTTTTTCGTAATAAATTTAAAACTTGAAAAAATATTTAAAATAAGATAAATAATAGAAATACAAGTCAAAAAATATTATAAAATTAAGTTAAATAACGTTTATAAGATAATTAGAAAATTTGTTAAAAATTGTTTAAGTCATGGGAGGTGTTCGTGTATAAAAGAAAATTTTTCTTAAGTTGTGGAAGGAGTTCACGTATAGATGAAATTAGGGGAGTTATGTTAGAAAATTTTCTGTTATGGGGTGTTCGTATAGCGTCTTGTATGGAGGAAGCTGCCGGAGGTACATACCTGCAGTTGTACATATATATGGGGTGGTCGGGAGCCCGACTGCCTGAAGTACTGTAGCACAATGACTAGTCCTATATTAGGGACTTATGATATTAAACTCAATGATACAAAAGCAATACTAAAGAAGGTCTCCATGATGAATTTGCATTACAGTAGTAGGGTCGTGGGTTCGAATCCTATATATGAATGACTTATGAAAGTAAGGTCTATGATCCAAAAGCAATACTATAGAAGGTCTCTATGATTAATATGCATTACAATAGTAGGGTCGTGGGTTCGAATCCTATATATGAATGACTTATGAAAGTAAGGTCTATGATTCAAAAGCAATACTATAGAAGGTCTCTATGATTAATATGCATTACAATAGTAGGGTCGTGGGTTCGAATCCTATATATACATGACTTATGAAAGTATAGTATATGATTCAAAAGCAATATTATAGGAGGTCTCCTTGATGCATAAGCATTGTATGGGGTGGTCGGGTGACTGACTGCTTCTAGTACTGTAGCAAAATGACTAGTCCTTATTAGGGACTTGAAAAGGAATATTATGGTGGCGTGTGTGCTGCTTCACGAGCAATTGGTCCGAGGTAAACTTAAAGCTCGCTAATCGATGTGTCCTAGACATATCATCTTAGTGCCGGTGGTAAGCGAGTTTGTTGTAGCAATACGGCTTTCCCGTGGACATCGCACACCCATACCGGTTGTGGGCGGCGTCGTAGCGCATAGCGATGCGTCGTCTATCTTTCGGATTGGGAAGATGAGTGTGTTTGGTAGCACTTTTAAGTGTAACAGGCATACTCAACTTCATGTCTTAGTGCATTAGCGCTATGATACATGGAGTTCTGTTCATTGGCGTCTTAGTAGCGTGCTACTATGATACGTTGGTGATATTTTTTATATAACAACAATGCCAACTTTGTTACCAAAGTCGATAGGGATCATGTGGGTGTGTTGTGAGGGGGCGCCACCCGTATGATAGTTGCATTGATGCTTACTGCTACTTGCGGTATTGCGTCTTGTGATGGATCTGCGGGTGTGCTGCGCCTGGTTCGACGCATTCTTGTGGTTTTGGTCGATGGAGGTATACAATTAACATCTTAGTGCCGGTGGTAAACGGGTTTGTTGTAGCAATACGGCTTTCCCGTGGACATCGCACACCCATACCGTTTGTGGGCGACGTCGATGCGTATAGCGATGTGTCGTCTATCTTTCGGATTGGGATGATGAGTGTGTTTGGTAGCACTTTTAAGTGTAACAGGCATACTCAACTTCATGTCTTAGTGCATTAGCGCTATGATACGTGGAGTTTTGTTCATTGGCGTCTTAGTAGCGTGCTACTATGATACGTTGGTGATATTTTTTATATAATAACAATACAAACTTTGTTACCAAAGTCGATAGGGATCATGTTGGGTGTGTTGTGAGGGGGCGCCATCCATATGATAGTTGCATTGATGCTTACTGCTACTTGCGGTATTGCGTCTTGTGATGGATCTGCGGGTGTGCTGCGCCTGATTCGACGCTCTCTTGTGGTTCTGTTCGATGGAGGTATACGGGTGGTGATGTCTGCTGGAATGTATGGGGGACCTTGGGATGGTGTAAGCCCGACGAGAGTCGTATTGACGCTTGTTGCGTTTTGCAGCATTGCGTCTCTGCGATGGTTGTTTGGCGGGACGCTCTTCTCAATGGAGCTCTCTGCGTCTTGGTTTGACTCACACCTAAGTAGCTTTGCCCAAGTTGGGTCCCTTCATTGCGGGGCTGCAGACTGTCTGCCCTCCACGATGTTTTACATAACAACATAATATTATATCTCTGTAACTTTCCCATCTTTGAATGATTGAAGGCAACTTGTCGGTGTGTGAGACAAACATGATCGAAAATGCATTTACTCAACGTCAGTGACACAAACCCTTTCTGATGGCGAATTATTACTCTTATCTTATAACTGCCTTCTGGCTATATCTGCCGTTGTATTGGTTGGTGGAGCATATATGTCGACCTCATGCGGGTGGTAGCTGGCGGGAGGATCTGAGGATACTCTCAAGGCTGCGGCCGAAAGCCGCACAACGTGGGACCCCATTCCCTTGAGGTGAGCGGTAGACTCATGACACGCTCTGCGGCTAGTAGCCGTGCTGATTCATGCAATTGGTGGTGATGCCATGCACTTACATCACGTCTGCAGGAGCGGCGGTCTGGCAGGTGGTGGCGCTCACGGAGGGTTTACGGCCAGTGTGCCTATTTGCCTAAACCGTGTGACGTACATTCACTGTGGCTGGATTCGTTCGTATTTTTTCAAGCATTGACATGCGCGACTTCGGTCGATGTTTGTGCTTACGCACTAGCAAGGGGCCAAGCCTCTTTTACTGGTTCGCCAGTTATTTTGCTGTGGACTACGGTCCAGTTCCCGAATTAGCGTTCCCTACGGGGGAGTGCATCAAAATGGTTGGCACTCACCGTGCACGGCGTAGGGCCGTGTACCTCCCCTACATTTTTTTAAAAATAAATGTAGGAGAGCGAAGCCCTTGTATTGGGTATTTATGTGTAAATATATTGTGAGCCTTTTCCAAGCGGGAAGGGATAAATAATAATAAATTAATAATGTCAACCTGATACAAGTGGAATAAAGACGTTTTACGTTCTTAACCTTTCTCGAGCCCTGTCTTCGTGAACGGGGTTCACTTAACTTATAAGGCACTACCAACAGCTTTCAATTGCTCTAGCGAATATTCATTCTTCCAAAAGACACTTAAAAGAACTAAGTTACTAAACAAACACAACGTAAATAAGGGTCCTAACTAAGACGGTCACGCCAAAAATATTACAAACGGCCTATTATTAAACCTTTAGAAAGATCATTTAGAAAGACCAAAACATATTTTATTTATCCTAGTCACATATATATAATTTTTATTATAAAGGAGTATTAATTATAATTAATCTAATATATTTATTACTATGAGAGGAGGGGGAAGCGTTACAATGGCGCCGAACTCTATCGGCTACGACTTGAGTCTGTTCCCTCATCAGATAAAAATGCTATGGCTGGACGTGCTACTGGCAAAAGTAGCACTATCCCAGCCTGGAGAAGAAGAAGAATTGAGGAGCGTATTGCAATGGTGAGAGTTCTCATCGGCAGACTGATATGCTTCAGGTCAGGCAAATACCAGACCAATGACTGTGCGCATCATGAGGATGGCGTTAGCTGGGAGAAAAATTGGTTTTTTCCAGCCGGATATAACGCAAAAACTGACGGAGCGCATAGATTATTTGAAACACAGAATCGCTGCTTGGGAAAACCGGATTTGGCGATATACCGAGAGGTCGACTCGGTTCAACCAAAATCGTCCCTTCCATCGTGATCAGAAGAGGCTCTATACATCATCGGAGCGACCAATGGTAACTGCAACGGGCCCAGCACCGAATTGGGCCGACACTGTAGTATTCTGGCGCGACCTATGGTCAGAGTCCGTAAACCACAACGAGAGCCCTTGGACGGAATTTGTGGCGAGTTAGTGTGCGAGTATTACGTCCATGGATACCGTCATTATAACGCCGGATGACGTATCTGAGGCGGTACAGTTAGAGAATTAGTGTATGGGGCAGTGGAGTACGATCGATTTGTCGAGCGGGCGAGCGGATGACGGCTCTGCTACATAAGCATAAGTAGGGGTATCTTCCAGGATATATATATATATATATATATATTTTATATAGATATAGTCATTATGGCAGAATCGCTGGAGGATCCTAGCACTATGCTCAATGACCTCAATGGTGTCTTCCAACGGATAGATCTTAAGATGAACATGGACAAAACAAAGATCATGTTTAATTTCCATGTCACACCTATGCTGGTAGTTGTTGCGAGTACTATGCTCGAAGTTATTGACGAGGACGTTTACCTGTGACAAATTGTCCGACTAGGTAAGTCTAACTTCGACCGAGAGGTCAATTGACGGATTCAACTCGGCTGGGCAGCGTTCGGGAAATTACGACACATCTTCTCGTCAGGTATACCTCAATCTCTGAAAACTAAAGTGTACAACCAGTGCGTGTTGCCATTGATGACTTACGGATCTGAGACGTGATCCTTCACTACTGGCCGTATGAGGACGCTAAAGGTTGCTCAGCGAGCTATGGAGAGGGCTATGCTCGGAGTTTCTCTGCGTGATAGACGCAGAAATGAGGATATCTGCAGATAAATCAGAGTGACCGACATAGCCCAACGGATTAGTAAGCTGAAGTGGCAATGGGCCGGCCATATAGCTCGAAGAACCGATAACCGATGGGGAAGAAAGGTTATCGAGAGAGAGATCAAATTTTGTAAAATTATAAATATAAATAAGAAACAAGGTTGGGCCGAGTATACTCCTTTATGGTACGCCATGTATTACTAGGAAACCATTGCTGGTAATATTATTTACACTAACGTATTGATATTTTTTAGAAAGATAACTTTTGAATAATTTGAGTTGAGTGCCTCTGATACCGACATTTTCCAGTCTTTTTAATAGTATTTTTTTGACACGGTATCGTATGCTTTAGCCAAATTTAAGAAAACTTAAATACTCTTTTTTCCACTTTCTAAATATAATACGTATTATGTAAAAAGATCTTGTCAAATGTCAGGGTGATTTTAGTAATCGCGAGAGATTTCAGAGCATAAATAAAACATTTACAATACAAAAACTAACGCACAGACGTTCAGGAATACTACCACCAGATTTTAAAAGTTTGCTAAAATTTAAGCAAATTGGAATTAAAAATATGTTTTTTTTTTTAATAACGTAAAATAATAAATAATTATATTTTTAAATATATTATATCTTTAGCATAGAAAGTAAAAAAATAGAAGAAAATATGAAGAAATGAGTGTAGAACTAGAGCGTGAGTGGCACCGTACTCCGGATTAGACAATGGTCCGTGGAGCTAAGAAGGACATCGATCGAGACCTGATATCCATCCGGATGGGCGGTCTGCAAAAGGGCCAACTATGAAGGTACGAGGCCATTTTCCACATCTGGGATCCTCGTAGGCAAGGTAACCAGTTATGTCAGACCATATCCCAAATCAAAGTCATTATCACATCTACCCGCATGATCGGTTAAACTAGAGCCAAGCCATTCAGCGTGATGGGCGTTAAAACCACCAAGCATTACGATCTCTGCGGATGAAACCTGTTGTAGCATGGAGTTTGCATCAATAAGACGTGGTCAATGAGTCAGTCTGTGTGGGCACTACCGCTGTGAGACCTATAAAGGCAACCGTAGACGCGAGGATGGTCGTCGCTGTCTACGCGTAGCTACAAAATGAACAGGTCAGTACCTTTAAGGCTGCTGAGGCGTCGAAAACAGATATTCTCTCCGACATACACGCAAAGTCCAGCCCCAGGAGTATTCAAATTTGTACCCCAGGGAGATACAAATTATCAGCCGGTAAGGACACTTGTGTCTCGCTTGATATTGCAAAAATTCACGGATAGCATGGCGGGATGCGCTTTTGCCTGATCTTACTGATTCGCTGGCACCGAGCAAGTTTAATCTCGAGCAGAATTCTCCCCCCCCACGAGCATATGCGGCGTTGCCTGAGCAATCACGCTCAGGAAAAGTAGAGTAGTTTGGGCGTGGATGCTCAGTGATAATTCTCCGTCACCGGGGATGCAGGTACTAGTCCCGGGATTTTCCGCTGGCGTAGACATCGTTTGCTATGCCGACGACACGTTGGTGGTTGCTAACGGGGTCACTTTCGAGAGGACCAAGGAGCTCGCCGAGCTTGGGGTGAAAGTCGTCGTTGCCAAAATCCGTGAGTTGGAATTAGAAATAGCACCTCACAAGACCGAGTGGGGCGTTACGTCAAGTACTTAGGCCTCCACTTGGACAGTCGGTGGGGCTTCGCAGAACAATTCGAGCGCCTAGTCCCCCGGATTGAAAGGGTAGCGGGTGCTATGTCTACGCACTTTTTCCCTTGGCCCGCTAGATTGGGCAGCAGTCTATACTGCTGCCCAATCTAGGGGATCAAGGGAAAAAGTGCGTCGCCTCTACGAGTATACAAGGATTCAACGGTCCATAAACTTGTATGGGGTATCTGTTTGGGCAAAAAGTTCGTGATTCATTTGGTTTTAGAACTTGCTTTAATCCTTTTACTTATCCAAATTTATTTTTCGTTACTATTTAGACTGGATGACTTTTTTACCGTCTTGAAAAAAATAGGGTGTAACATGTGAACGGAGTAAAAGCCTATGGCACTGATGTTTTACAAAAATTTTGAAGTAAACGTTTGAAAAAATTTACATCCCGAATATTACTTAAAATATGATCGATGCAAGATGACTTTCGTGTAGGTCAGGTACATCAATATGTATTTTTAAATTGTAATTTTAGGATAAATTTTGTAGTTTATTTGTGAAATTGCCTCGTTTTAGTGTGTTTATGTTGAAGTCACCAGCCAAAACTATATGTACTCTAAATCGGTATTTCATAGTTAAGTTGTGTAAGAGATTACTTAGCTTACATAGCAACTGGGTCCAATCTGGTTAGGGTGCTCAGTATAGGCAGAAAGTTATTAATTTAATACACGTAAGTTCAATACCGCAAATGTGAAACGAATTCTGCGACGCATAATTTTTGTCAATGACAGTTCATTAAAAATCAATCCTTTTTTAAATAAGATGCAGGTTCCCCTTTTTGCAACATTGTCTCTCTCCTGTCACTCTTATAGTTATTTCTATTAAATATTGTTTAAGCAAAGCACTGGCAATATTGATGACATTAGGAATTTGTTTTTTACGGTCGATAAAATGATTTTTTTATTGCGGGAAAATATTAAGGTGTAGTTACTCTTATAAAACTTTTCACTGGTACTGTATGGATATCAGATTGTTTCTTAAATTAAAAGGGAATTATTCCTAATTGATAGAATCAGGCGTTACTTTGCGGAAATTCATTACAGTAAAGATATTAAAAATTATTTTGCAACCATCCGCTAAATTAAATAAAATGATGTATCTTCCCCAGTCTGTCATTCAAGTCTTAGCGGTCAGAAAAAGTAGAGTCAACATCACCTGAAGATGCCTCGTGTAGAGGCGAAACACGTGTCGTATTATCGTTGATGGTGTCTTTCCTAGAATAGTGGTATTGGGAGTAGTGTAGCTGGGATTGGTGGTAACGGGATTAGTGCACACAATTGAGGGAAGGCGGGAGGTGCTCTTCAAACTAGGGAAGATGCATCATTTTATTTAATTTAGCGGATGGTTGCAAAATAACTATTAATATGTTTACTGGAATTGTTCCTTGTTTAGATTAAGGCTTTAAAGATTTTAAAACTCGACTTATTACTTGCCATACATTTGCTGCTTTTGCTAGGCTTTAAATAAATTTTGCATAATATTTACAGTCAATACATAATTAATTAATTAACAAATGTGCGAACAATTAGAGTGTTTACAATACGAAAAATTAGTTTTGATATTTATTGCACATATTTCTCATAAAATAATTTCATTCATATGTATATATATATATATATTTATATATATATATATATATATATATATATATATATATATATATATATGTATATATATATATCAATAACATGTAGCACTATTATCGTATTATTAATAAAGTTCTATAGTACGAGTTGTAGCTGTGAAGAAACTAACCTTATGTTATAATAATTTTTCCCTACACCGATTGTCAAATAATATAATATAGTATTATATTATTTGATTGATTGTTAGTATTTTTATTATACTATTAAATTGTTATTAAATATTTTAACAAACAAATGAAGGGCTTTTTAAAAAATTTTGTCATTAAAATGCGAATTCAATCCACTGTTACATTCTATTCATTCTTCAGGTAAAAAGCAAGTTCGTTGTTCGTTTTCAAATACGTAGACGAAGTTAATGGCACGCAATTTAAACTTGCTAAAATAGGTTCCCAGTTAATCGTAGCCATTTACGAGAGCACCGTCATAATCTGGCAAAGTTCTTAACTCAGGAATTTTATTTCAGTCATTTGTGTAAATTAATTTAAATCTTTTCGAGATTCGAGCTAAACTATAAAATATTAGTTATATCGGAAATTGTTACGAAATATTTACTAATCGATTTCGTTAATTTTTTTATCATACTGATATGTTATATTTATTTTAGCATTATTACTATTTTCTGCAGACATACTTATTACATTATTATTTACATTTCGGTGCAGCGAAAAAGTATCACCCTGAGTTTGTCGTAAGAAGCTAAAGCGGGAAGTAAAACATGATTAGACCACAGCGTTTTCCTGATATCTACTTAAAATAATAAAAATCGTTGCTGCCAACCCGCTTGCCAAGCTTAGCAACTATTTCAAATATCCCACCCCAAGTATAATTTACGAGGAGGCCTATTTTCAGCAGTGGACTTTTAATAGGAGATTATGAAACGATGAAAAATGCATTTTTTATTAGATTTTAGGACTCCTTTTTTGCGTAGGAGTTCATCTAATTAGGTACCACCATCTCACCTA